CACCACACAATGTAGACAGTATATTATAGCAATGTACATAATACATCACGACAGTGTGTACAGTCACCATAAACACCCAGAACATTAAATACATGGTAGTGAACAATAAATATGTGGCAGCGAATAAAAAGTACATTGTAGTTCAAGTCAAAAGTGCATAGTGCAGAGGTGCATTGAGTTCTGACGCATTGCACAGTTAGCTGTTAAGGATGCGCACTGCAGTAAGATAGAAGCTGTTCTTAAGCCTAGTGGTCTGTGCTTTAACAGTGCGGTACCGCTGGCCAGAGCGCAGTGGGAGGACAGTTTGTGGCTGGGATGGTTGGGATCCTGTAGCCTGAATGATGGATTGGGCTGTACTGCAGCCGCGGATGGTGCGAATCAGTTGATGTTAAATCACGTCCTATAAATCCTCTGTACCATTGCTACACCCCTTTGCAGAGCATCTTCGTCACCCATGGTAGTATTGCTGTACCATACAGGACACTTTCTGTGGTGCTGTGGTAAAAGTTCATGAGTAGCTGCTTCCCCATACTGCATTTGTTCAGGCTGTAGAAGGTGGAGATGCTGTTGTGCCCTTTTCAGACTGGCTACAGTGATGTGAGACCAAGCCAAGTTTGTGGAGATCTGCTGAGACCGAGGAACCTGAAGCAGATGACAGTTTCCACGGTTGTGCCCTTAGTGCTGACCTTAGTGTGACTCCCTGTGGGTGTCCTTAAGTCCAGACCTGCAGGGCGTCTCCTTACCGCCAGGTGGTTCATCCTCCTAACCCTTTCCCGTTTTCACCATTTCAGGGTTGCATCACGATACGCTACACTGCGCCGTGGAAAGCTGTGTTCTTCTCTGAGCTTTTCGGCAGCAAGGAGCTCTCCTCCACCGCTCGGAAGCTCCTGGACCTGCTGTTCGATTACGAGGTGGAGAAGAGCCCCATTCTCTTCCACGTGTTCAGCAACGGGGGGTTCATGCTGTACCGCTACATCGTGGAGCTCTTGCACAGCCACAGCCAGCTGTGCACCCTGAGGGTGGTGGGCACGGTTGTGGACAGCGCCCCAGGGAACCGGAACCTGACGGGCTCTCTCCGGGCCCTGCAGGCCACCCTGGGGCCGGGGACCAACGTGGTGGTCCGGTGCGCGCTCCTGGTGCTGTTCGCCTGCGCCGTGGTGGTGCTGCGGATCGTGCTGTACCCCCTGACCAGGCACATCCACAGGAGCCACTACGACGCCATGCTGGAGGACCCCTCGGGCTGGCCGCAGCTCTTCCTGTACTCCCGGGCCGACGCGGTCATCGCCCCCGGAGACGTGGAGGCCATGGCCCGGGCGCGGCGGCAGCGAGGGGGCGTCCGGGCGGAGAGCGTCGACTTCGCCACCTCGGGCCACGTGTGCCACTTCCGCGCCTTCCCGGAGGAGTACTCCGGCCGGTGCCTGGCGTTCCTGCGCAGCTGCCTGCGGGGCGAGGAGGAGGCCCCCGGGAAGAGGCGTCCCGCCGTCCCCGCCGACACCTCCTCCTGAGGGGAAACGCCGTTTTTGTTTTTTAAAAACAAAGGAAATCCAATCATAGGCCTTGGGAAAAATGAGCTACTGTGGGGAGGGGGAAATGCCTGGCATGAAGTTTTACATTTCAGTGTACTAGCGTAGAATGCTGCTTCAGCGGGACGGTCCAAAGACGCAGAAAATAGAAATAAGCTGTTCGGGGGAAAAAATGTCGAACGTCAGTGTTCAACAGACGGTTCCTGAAGGAATTCAGTTCTTTGGAAGTCGGCACATTACAGGCTGTGCTTGAGCAATATTCGCAAGACCACCATTCTCAGGTCCAGGGGAATACCGCAGCCTTAAATAAAAGGCTCGCCTCTCTAGTTTTAATACTTTTAGCTTTGGTGTAGGAAAAATGCTCGTGCAGCACCCGAAATATTTTCGCCAGGCGAGATTCCTGTGCCTTCCCTGTGCCATCTTTCCCAAACAAACGTATCGATGTGCACTTTGTTCACAAACTGAAGGTCTGAGTTTTTATTTTGGCAGACATTTTTAAAGGAGACTTTTGTACAGACATACCAAAGACCTTATTGACTGTGAAGTGTTTGGAATTTAGCCAGTCTGAGAGTGTAGCGTTCTAGTGTCTCGCTACAACATTTCGTGTGACAGGATTGTTTTCATCTATAGATGCACATAAGATACGTGAAGGTTGCGTCTTCTTTCCTCTTCTCTGACATTCATAGGCTGTCACCCTCAACCACGAGGGGTAGCCTAGTATATAAATTAGTTTAAGAGTGTTCCGAATCCTTAAAATAGGTGAAGTTCATGGTAGACAACAAATGAGTTGAGATTAAATAATACCCTGTTAGTGCAGTTGTTTCTCATATTTCCCTTAGAAAATGGGCAGTTGTGTAATAGCCATATCTGCTGCAGTATTTTAAATAGAAAGGCTCCTTCTTCACATTTGTATAAAAAAATCCAGAGCTTTAGTTTGAAGTCTATACAAAATTAATAATGTATGAGAGGCAATTCACTTTTTTTTAATGTGAGATTTACACTGTTAAAAATATTAATCCTTTTTTGATAATACACATAAAAGGATAAAGAATGTATCATCAGGAAAAATAAGTTTTCTGTTATTGAATTTGTGGAAAATCATATTGTTAATGTATATCAATATAGACAAAGGTTCTCAGTACTTTGCTTGTAATTTGGACCAATATAAAAAATAAGAAACAATACCATGCTGTAAGCTACTTGATTCTGTCTTGTTACTGTGTTGATGTTCATATATTGTAAGATTGCTTCCAGTGTGTCTGCATGTGAGTATACTGGTTTGCTTTTCCATATGACATTTCTAATGTGTTCACATTGTTTGTGATTTTGACATTTGTGCCTTTGTGCTTAATGCTGTATTGTTAACTAATTGCACACCAGAAATGTTTGCCTTACAAATTGAATTAAAGTTTTTTTAAAAAAAAAAATCTAGAGCTTGTTTAGTATCACAGAAAAATGATCTAATGAAATTCTCACATTTAAAGTGACTTTCTTTCCTGCCAACTATGACAGTCATTACATTATATGTTACAAATGTGCAGAAACTAAGTACAATACTTGATTTGTGAATTTGTTTATATTTACACTAATATTGTAAGCTATAAAATATGCCTTTTGTCACAAGTTCATGGACTGCTTAAAATATTGTTAATATTTAAAATAAACTATAGAATATCACCATAAAAACTAGCTACACAATTTATAATAACAGTAATATTCAAATTGATTTCAGAAACTCAAAGCACCATTCAATGCCACCTGTAATACAAATACATATTGTAACGCAATATAATGTAGTACAAATAGATCTTTAAATAGGTTTAAAAAATGTTGACACTATACAGTCCTTAAAGGAGTGTGGTAATGAGTTCCAGAGATACTGCATACGAGACAGCTGTATCACCCATTCTGTGAAACAGTCTTCGGCAGAGCAAATCTCATATTAAGGACTGGACTGTACTTAGTAGTTCAGGTGGGTAGCTGCGTTAGCATGTGTAGGCTGCAAAGGAACAAGTAATAGGTTTATTTCATGCTGAAAAGAGAAGAAAGAAAGCACAACGTTTCGCCGTGGAGCCTTCTTCAGGTGTGAGGAAGACAGGGCAGTAAGTCTAGATCAGAACAGAATTTCTTAGAATCCACCATCACTATTCAACATTCCTCGCTTTTAGGAAGTGTCGCCACCCGATGCATTCTGGGAACTGTAGTCCAGTGTTTAAACAACTACGACAACCAGAATTCAACTGGTACTCGTTGCTTTTAAGGGAGAATAAAGGTTGTAACAAGCGAAACAGAATAATTGCGTTTTGGGACAATTTTTCCTTTTTTTTTTGTAAAGGAAAGGAGTCGTGCTGTTTACACACCAAAAAGGTAAATTCTCTGTTTATGATCTGTAAACGGTACATTTCATATCGTGTTTTTTATTTTAATCGTTTTCTGTAGAGGCCTACAAATGTTTGAATCCCCGGTCTTTTCTATAGGTCTTGTCTGTTCTCCGAGCCCTTATTTTAAAATGGGGTTTTGCTTTTTTCTTATCCGAGTGATTCTGCGTATTGTAAGAAATGTCTTACGTTTAGGTTGTACGTACAATTAATCTGAAGGAAGAATAATGTTTTGAACACCGTTCATTTGGTTTCTGCCGTAGTGGACGTTTTTAGTCGAGGATGGACTTTTAAAACATCAGTGCTCATATGATCCCCATTTTAACCAAAAACAAAGTGAACGATTACCATAGACATTGTTGCTGTTAACTTCAGTAATATTGTAAATGGAACTAGCAAGCTAAAAGATACAGTGCAAGTGCTGTCTGACCAAATTCACTGTTGGGTTATATACTGTTAGGATTTGCTGATCTCAAACTATCAGTCACATTGTTTCAATAAATTTTAAAAAATCTTCTTCGATGTTACTCCGCGAATACAAGTCTCAATACCATTTGTTGATACCAAGTGTGAATGTAATGGATTTGTCTCTTAAAGAGATCCTAATGTGGAAACCTTTTCATTACCCCTGAAAGGCAATAGTTGTTTAGTAAGTGGCCATCTTCCAATATAACCCAACACGTCCAGTACTTTAGCCACTAATTCTTAATTAATTGCTGATATACTTAT